ACTCCCACACTTACAATAAAAATCAGCCAGGCATACTGGATCTTGCCACTGGACCTTGCCCAATCTTTGCAAGGTTGATGCATCCACGACGCAGACCATACATCTCCAAACCTGGCTTGTAGACAACACACTTCACAGTCATTGTAAGAACACAATGGCTGGGTCAGCATTAGTTCAAGTATTTTGGTGGCTCTAAACTGCAAGCACGGCTGCTTGTTGCCTCGCAAGCTGATCCCCAGAAAGTAGCCATGCATGAGCTTGTCTTAGCCCACAAACGGCAATGTAATTCATGTGTGAAGTACACACATACCAATCAAGAGATGAATTGAAGGACACAATGTCAACATGCCTTTTTGGCATATTGTGCACAAAACATCGCTCTAACCCGGCAAAGGAACACACTCGGAGTAAACAGATGCCAAATCAAACTGAGTGCATATATACACACAGTCTATGACTTGACATTTCATGCCTGCAACTACTGCTCAAAGGGCTCAGGCATTGAGTCCATCTCATCATCCATAATCAACATGGTCTCCAGCACGAAAGCCTTCACGTGGCCCCTGGCAAGGATCTTGTACTTCTCCTCACCCCCAGCCAGTTTTGCATCAGACTCCACCTTGAAAGCCACTCCCATACAGGCATCCCACCACTCGACCTGCAGGAGAGTATAAATATGAATTACACTTTAATTGGTCGAATGAGACTTTAATTGCCCTGTACTAGAAGAAACTGGAGACAGAAAGGAAAAGAACACAAACTACACTACAGGTAGACTGAAATTCCAAAGTGTGTGAACCAATGCTTGACAATGTTTCTTCACCAAGGGTGCTGGAACCAAAGGCCAATCCTAGCTGGGAAGTCTATGAGTGATCCTGGCCTCAAAGCCTGATGCCGGATGTCCCGCATTCACCAGCAGAGGGCGGATGAACTCATCAAAGGTGTCGCGGATTGCCAGCCAACGTGCCTGAGGAACACCGCTGCGAGGATAAGGTCTGCGAGCAAAACTCTTGATCTTGACGCCAGTAGAGTCTCCACCATCAGGATGCTTCTCAGAAGGAGCTGATGCATCCACAGGTTTCATAGCCTCCTGCACAGAAGGCTCAAGCATGTCCCATCCATAAGCCTTGGTGACAGCTTGAACTCCCTCCACAGAAAGTGGTCCCCAAACAATTTCACTTTCACCCTGGTCCTCTTTGTGTTCATCACCAGCAGCATCCCGAGCACTCGTCGCAGCCACACTGGACTTCCTTGCCCTTGATTTTGCTGAAGGTTTTGCTTTGGGCTCAGCTTTTCTCTTGCGCTCAATCTTGGGCTCAGAACGTGTCTTGCGAGCAGGCTTCAGTTTCTTGATTGGCTCTGCCTTTTGAGCTTCGTCCTCTGAATCATAAATCACTTCAGGTTCAGAATCAGCTTCATCCTTCTTGGCTCGACCACGTCCACCTCCACGGCCACGTCCTCGACCCCTCCCAGCTGCTTTTGATTTGCTTGCCCTCTTTTCCTTTTTTGGCTTCAAGGCAAACTGATCAACCCTCATCACCACAGGGACTTCTTCATTTTCTTCTTCTTCTTCACTTTTTTTTTCCTTCAACGTCCGCTTTCCACCACCTTCTTCCTCCTTGACAGGCTCAGCCATGACTTCTTCCTCCTTGACA